GGTCCATCTTATGTACCTATACTTCACTCCTGGTTGAAAAGAAATATATATATTAAAAAAAAGAAAATAAATGATGGCCAACAGCCATGCCTCTCATGCTTTTTGTAACTTGCTTTTAAAAAATCACTAAAATAAAGAACAGGAGAGTTGGAACAACTTGCAAAACGTCCCCATCTTCAGCACTCATGCCCTGAGCGCGGCACATTCCAGGTTGTAGAAAACATTTTCTATTTCTGCGTGCTGATTTTACAGCCATGCATGTGCATAAGGTTTGTCCGGAATCCTTTAACAGCACCGGACTCTTCCTCAGCAGCACTGACACGTCACATGCTCTGAGGGAGGACAGCAGAAAAGAGCCTATGGGGTCAAGAGATGCTGACCTGGGAGTTCAAATCAGCTAACGTCAGTGCTAAATCCTTCAGGCAGCTGAGCTGACCAAGTTTTGAAGTTATTAGACAATGAAAAAAACGACAGGTTATGAGTTCAAAATGATAGAAAACCCCAGAATATCTGGCTTTAGAGAAATAGCACTGAGAGTTTCAACCTTCCACTTCCCTTCCTCTCCCACACACCCATTCTTCAATGAATTTCTTGCATGCAGATTGAGCAATCTTGAACAGAGACAGACGTCACAGGCATAAGGACAAACAGCAACAAAGCRAGGACAGCAGCAGCAGAGCAAAGAGAGACAAAGGGTTGTAAAACTGAAGACAGTCTTCTAATTGTTGGGGACAAGCAGAGGTCAGCCCAATTCCAAACTTACTACATTAAATAACACACACAATGAAAACAGTATAGAAACTGGGCTGGCATATGGCCTCATGCTAAAAATGGCTCATTTTAAAGCAATAGTTCAGACCTTTTTGTTCCGTGGAAGTTTATGAACAACTAATATCTTATCTGTTGAGATGGCGCCTTATATGATCGCACTTTAGAGAAAAGAGTTTGATTTCTAACTAGCTAACAGCTGGTTGCATGGCCAACACCAAAGTGGATGCTGCCATCTTAAAACAACTTTAGTTTTAAAATTTTTGTACAAATTTGTWATAACTATTATGGCAAAAATTTAATATTTCAGCTGAAAATGTAGAACAGCAACAGCTAGCTGCAACTGCTGCTATTTGTGCTTGCAAATAACCATAAAGCTTTCTTAAAATAACGGTAATGAAGCACTAGTAATGTTTTTTAAAACAGATAAATTATTGTTTTTATTCTAGAGTTGTTTTAAGATGGTATCACACTGGGCTGCMACTGTTGGCGATTCATAGTTGTAAGAAAATTGCGATAAAATAGACAAATTATTCAGCAGCAGAATCACTTAGTTCAGTGAGTTGTAGCCACAGTTTGTTTGGCCTATAGTTGAAAATCACCACTTTTTTTTTGTTTACACGCTTCACAAATCTCTATTCTAGGTCGTGCACAATTTTTTGTTGCCCATCTGGCCCCACCTTTATGACTTGATTTACTGAAGTACATGTCTGAAATGTAGATTTTTAGATTTGGATCAGTTTTAAGACCTGGGCGTGTTCAAAACACAACGCCAGTGCTACTGAAATTCACCTGCAACAAAAATGAAAAAAGGTTCAAGATGGGTTTCAGACACTYATTGAGGAATCTGTGACTAATTTGAAGGAAAATATTAAAATTTGAGTAACGATTGTACACCTCAGTGACTCAAGTGAGGCAACTGAGAACTTCAGCAAACATTTTGAGACATTATGGAGATTCCCAGCAGTCACAACCCAGTGAGATACTGGCCAGTGAGAGATACTGTCCTTCTCAAACTAGACATCAGCTCATCAGTCCTGTCAAAATTTAACTGTTTCTCTAAACTGAGATGAGTAAAGAGCTATCTACAACAGGTAAGACCTTTATTATATTATACAGTAGTTGTTAATCTTCACACAGAACCAATTTCTYAAGATCTGAACTTGCCCTTTAAGAAAGATTTCCCCTACAAACGATAGACAGAACATGATGAGACTTCATGGAAGAGAAAAAAAAGAAACATTTAAAACATGGTTTTAAAGTGACAGGGACTGAACAAAAGAAAGAAAGGAAAGGAGAGAAGACAGAAGACAGGGTACATACACTGAGGTTACTGCCACGGTGCTTCCCTTTCCTCCGCTGCTGTATGAGCACAAGGAAGACACACACACACACACACACACACACACACAAAGAGCCACAAATACACCAGAGGTATGATCACACATGGAGCAAACACAAGAGTCCAAAAAGTAAACAAATAGTGAAAGAAGAAAGACATGGGTGGTTTTATACACAATGCAAAAGGCAATAGGAAACAACAACAACAACAACAACAACAACAACAACAACAACAACAACATAAAAATATTAGTTGAGGGTTCAAGCCAAATGGAAATGGAGCATGAGAATGAGGAGAACAAAGGACAGATACAGACACAAACAAACAAACAAGCAAACAAACAAACAAACAAACAAACAAACAAACAAACAAACAAATAAACAAACAAACAAACAAACAAAACTAAGGCACATACCTAGTTGACTAAACAGAGATATTTTTAAATGACTGAAATACAAACTCAATACTGATAAAGCTGTAGCAAAAACAAAAACATAAAAACAATGATTTATGTGATTTGTACGGAAACCACCTAGTGACACTGGAGAAAAAAATAAAAAATGTGTGGCCATGAGATAAATATTGCAGTCATTTACATGCAGACTGTTTATTGTTTACATGGTCAAGTTTGGATTAATATCCTTTTTTAACATCGGAAAGAGTGAAATACTTCAATCACTTGCAGTTAAACATGAAGTAATTCGTAGTTGCAGCTATAAGACAGCTTTTTGGACACAGACAACTTTAGTCCTCAGACATTTTAAGCTCAGCACTCAAAAGAGACTCCTCTCACACCTTGGGCCTTTGATGAGGAAGGAGTTGAAAATATGTTATATTCAGGAACACAATCAAAAACATATTTTCCAACTCACACTTAGGGTGTTCAGTGTCATCTGGTAAATACTAGCTCTATGAAAAATAAATAGTTCAGATTTAGCCATGAAGGGATACTCTTTGGATTAAACATACACCAATTTAAACAAACAAACAAACAAACAAACAAACAAACAAACAAACAAACAAACAAACAAACAAACAAACAAATAAAAATCTCATGACCACACATTAACTAACATGTGGCCATGAGTAATTATCTCATGACCACACATTAACTAACACGTGGCCATGAGTTATTATCTCATGACCACACATTAACTAACACGTGGCCATGACGCTGTGTCCAAAACGGTGGGCCGGGTCCTCCGAAGGTCGAATTCGTCGGCCGCATACGTCATAACGCCGCGACGAAGGACGTCCCAAACCAAAGACTCCTCCGATGCGGCCGACAAATACGTCATTCCTTTTCCTCGATTTGAAGGACAGGTCTGATGGATCGTTCCCGGCCCAGCATATCCCATAATGCATTGTGGCACAACCGGAGATTTTTTTAAGCTAGTAATGGTGGACGAAGCGAGAGAAAAGAATTCGTTTTAATTAAAAATATGGCGATATAAAAATGAAAACATTTTAGCGATTGTAATTCTAATACTTTTGATCATTTGTATAGACGTCTTTTTAAACATCATTTTTGTCATAAAAACGCAAAATAAACATGCACCTACAGCGGGTCAATTAGTTCTTCAAATGTTACCTTTAATTTAATTTTATTGTTTTGTGATATTAATAATGATAATTTAGTGATATTTTGCTATTTTTGATCTATTTTTGCTTCTGTTTAGCGTCGTCAGGGTTGCTAGGTGACATGATGTACGCCGGGGTAAGGAGGGGAGGCTAGACCGTCCAAATTCAGCTTCGTTTTTTCCGGTCTTCCTGGTCTACCAAGGACCCGGCCCACCTCGACTGGGTAGTCTGGGTCCTCCGGAGGACCCGGCCTGTCRTTTTGGACACAGCCATTATCTCATGACCATACATTAATTAGCATGTGGCCATGAGTTATTATCTTGCGACCACACATTAACTAACATGTGGCCATGAGGTAATGTTTTGTGGCCACACATTAACATGTGGTCAGAAGTTTTAACTGGTTTCCACACATTAATAATACGTGGTCCCTATAATTTCATGGTCATGCATTAACTAACTTGTGCCCATGACTTATTATCTCATGGCCACTCGTCATTGTACTCCAAATCTACAGAGATTGTCCTTTTTTAACAGTAAACAAAAACATCCCAACTTTTTCAGAATTGGATTTGTGTGTAGATGCTTAAGATATATATATTTTTAGAGAACTCAGAACATTGTTTAAACAGCACCTCAGCTAGGTCACAACAACAGTTATGGGTAGCAAGACACCCGCACGAATGGATTTGCAGACTCACAAATACACATCGCACACACACACACACACACACTCAACACAAATTTCAAGTAAGAGTAGAGTGATAGCGTGACAGCGCAGAGAAACTAAGAACACACATACACTGATCTGTAACACTCAGCATCATGCTTGTTCGAGGCCTGGGAGTAAAAATAAAAGCTCAGCATGGCAAAAACCTTTAACTGGGAGGAAAAGATGGTTTAGTAAAATTACAAATAAACAAACAGTGTCCTGACAGAAGAAGAAGAAGAAGACGAAGGAGAAGAAAAAAAAAACTTTGGGGCAAAGAGCTGTGTRTGTGTGGGTGTTTATAGATGTTTTTGTGTGTTAAGGACAACCAGAGCAGTCATTGAAATATGAAACACCACAATGGATCACACTGGGAGATGGAAAACAGGACAGCTACAAAAAAAAAAAAACCTTCATGCAGGTGAAAGGACAAGAAGAAATCTGAACGATGGGAGAATTCAAACAGAACACAAGATCTGATTTTGCTTTGCTGACTCTAATCTCAGCTTGGAGGCARGAGCTGGCAAAACATCCTCATGTTTTAGCCAGAAATAAGAGAGATGATAGGATGAGAGCCACATTTGCTGCTTGTTCGTGCCTCTCAGTGTAGAATGCAGGACTTGTCCTTTGCTGCCTTATTCCAAACTTTCTGCAGCCTCAATGTCAAGCAACAAATCAGACCTTTCTAAATGTGACGACGTGGAACAAAAGGAGACGAGGAACACACATTAAAGGGAGGGGAATGGGGGGGGGGGGGGGCACAAAGACACTGGAGAGGTGAGAATGCTGCTCACTTGGTTGTCGCCTGGGAGGCGGGGCATGGAAGCAGCCCTGCCGTGGCCTTCCATTGGTGGAAAGTGCTCGGTATCCGAGTTACCATCCCGCCCCATCTCCTTCATCTCTACCGTCTGCAAACAGAGCAGGAGAGCAGGAGATGGTGTGACTGGCTGACATGAACACTAACAGGGATGAAAGGGAGGGAGAGAAAGATAGAAAAAGGCGGAGCCAACGATCTCAGAGAGACAAGTGTTGTAGGAACATCTGGCAAATGCAGGTATTTTTTGTTGTGTAAGACAAAATGTATGCTCTAAACACACCTCGCTTTTTGTTTGTGTTTCAAGTCATCAACTGAGCTGCAATCAGTAAAGCGAACAGCCAGTTTATGAAGTCAATAATATATATATATATATATTGCCATAAAGTTAAATATTTATGCAAATTACAGTCTATTAGAAAAATAAAATCTATTATTTATTAATTTAGCCCTGGGGCTCAATGTTGATTAGTTCTTACCTGTTCTACAGTTTATTGAAGCATAAAGTTATCAAATTTTTCCTCTAAATGCAACATTTCCTATCAAATATCTTAAAAACCTAAGGCTTTGAAAGATAAGAATTAGGATTTTACTTTTTTCTTATAAAAACAACTAATGCTCTTTTAAAAGTTAGCATCAAATTCAGTCAGCTTCTTATTCATTTGATGTCTGCTGGTGTTGTACTAAAAAAAAGGAGAACCACTGGTGTGAAAAAAGAAGCCCCTTTGCTGGAAACTCATTAACAATAGAGCATAGTGTCAATTGTAACAACACTGTGCTGCCCACTGATGTGCCTGCCTTTTAATCGGCTTAATATGCTCAGGGGTGGCCGATGCAGAATATTAAAGAAAAAAAAGAAGCAAAAATCTCTGTAATTAATCAGCTAACTCTACCTCTAATCTGCTCCAATAATGATACACAGCAGGAACCAAATGAGGTTAAGTAAAAATGACAGCAGCTTGGGGAAGTTTAGCCTGCCTACACTGCAGTCAAATCCAGTCCAAGAAGTTGGTTTTGTCACCTCCTTGGAAGTTTATTATGTAAAATAAGYAACATTCCACTAAGTTTGAAGTATACCTGGATTTAACAATATGGAGGTGGAAGAGTATAGCTTTCTGATTTCTGTTCATAGACMTCTTGTTGAAGAGCTGAGAGGTCTAGCAGTACGATGGTAAGGACGTGAGTCACTTTGGARGAAGAAGAAAGACTGGCAAGAGTAATCGTGTGGTTCAGAGAGGGGTTGGAAACGAAATGAGGCTAATCRACACAGAAGCTGAAGAAATAAAGCTAAAGAGTACAGGAAATGATCCAATCTACTAAAACACAAGGAGAATAAGGATGGTATGCATTGAGCTCTGATTTTTTTTAGTACCAAGAGGGACTCTGTTGATGTAGTGGAAGAATAAGATATAGGTGGGAGTCTGACTGGGTTGCAAAGTTGTTCTCTCTTTGCACGTGTGAGTTTTCTCCAGTTTCCTCCCACAGAGAGAGAGAAAAAAAGCACATTAAGCTAATGTGGCCCTGCGATGGATTTGCGGCCCGTCCAGGGTGTACCCCGGCCCCTCGCACAGTGACTGTTGGACGTGGACCCTTGTTACCAGCAAAGGAAGAAGCGGGCAAAGATAATGGATGGATGGGAGTCTGACTGGACAGAAAACTAGAAGACAAACAAAAAAACATAAACAAAGCATGAGTCAAAGTGAACAACAGGCTGCAACATTTCTACTTCGACCTCATTTAAAGCTTTATCTTGTTCATTCATCCGGTGGTTCTGAACAAACAGGTTGCTGCTGTCTGTGGAAATGAACATGTGATCTCATGAATAAAATGTGTCCTTTACAGAACTGCTGCCCTCCATTGTTCTTCAGGAGTTCACTGGATAGAGACGATGGGAACGTAAATCTGATATACAGTAAATGAATTTAAACACAATGACGGTGTGTTTTGAATGTGACACTGTGTGTGTGTGTGTGTGTGTGTGTGTGTGTGTGTGTGTGTGTGTGTGTGTGTATGAGCTGTCTACCTGCGAGTTGGTCATGCTTCCCAGACCTTCCTCAGAGTGGCCTTCAGGACTCCAGCTGCCAACCTTTTGGGACATCTCCTTAGCACGGTCCGTCACCCATGAATGGCTTTCCGGGATCCCACCCCCCACCAACCTGTGACATTCAAACATCATCCCATATTGTTAATTTTATTTTATTTTATTTTATTTTATTTTATTTTATTTTATTTTATTTTATTTTATTTTATTTTATTTTATTTTATTTTATTTTATTTTATTTTATTTTATTTTATTTTATTTTATTTTATAAAGAGAAAAACACGCCAACGACATGGCACTCACAGGCTGYTGTCAGCATCCGTCATTTCAGGTGGAGGCAGGGCATTGTTAAGTCCCGGACCCCCGTCCTGAGAGGGGGTAGGTGGCTCCACGCGCTGAAACAGTAATGGCGTTCGGTTCTGTTTTGAGATATACAACATGGCCGTCGCCAACTATCAGGCAGACTGACAGGGAAATGCAGGGAAAAGGAGCAGAGCAGGAAAAAAAAGGAGGCTTTTGTCTAAAGCTGAGACAAGCGGATCATGTCACGGAAGAGAAATAAAAGGAGGAACATTTTAGCAGTTTAGACGTTCAGGGACGATTCCACTCAAACCAGAACCGCAAAAAGACAATCAGCTCGGGTTTTCTCTGATAATCATCCGGCATATGTTGACGTATGTGAACAGGAAATAAGCATGAAAAAAGAGAAGATTATGCAGAAAAATAAAAGAAATCCAAATAATAAAACAAAATGGCAACAAAATGATGGCCTGTCCAAAGAACGTTGAAGCAGATTTGTACTGACTTAAAACCACACATCAAATTTCCATATTTCCATTAAACTGTTACGTGGGAAAACAAACAAAATAATAAACGTCTCAGAATTCTACGTTTTAGTGTTTTTTTAAAATGACAATTATCTTTTTCTTCAAAATGCGTGTGTGGAAGAAATATGTACATATCAACAAGAAGTATAAAGCACTAGTTGATYAGTTAAATAACTGCTGGAAATATTTTACACAAAAAAACAACATACTGGGTTACAATATTRACAAAGTTTTGTTTCTAAACTCACTAAACTAATGCATGATATAGAGATGAGGATAGTCTGTGTAGTTTGARCTAAMGAACGACTTTAAAGTAAAATAAAAAGTAMCTGTGGAGATTTGTGTGTTTGGAGTATGAAGGAAGGAGAATTTTRGATAAAGAAGGAATGTGAAACGTAATGGTAAAACAATCATTTATGGAAAGGCAAAGCAACACATGCATCAAACGTGAGCAGCAGGCAAGTATTTACTACAGCAAAAACCTGCATAAAACTACCAATCTTTAACTATAATATACATTCTTATGTGAAACAAATAGCAGTATTGTAACAGGGAGGATATTATCTGTCACAATGCTCCTTTAACACGTGGCCGAGTGCTGAGTTAAAAGGATATTTTAGATTTTTTGGAAGCTGGGTTTTGTGGAGAGGTTATAAACAATACATGTCTTACCTGCAGGTAGCTGTTTGAACAATGTCATTTTGAAAATAAATAAATAAATAAATTTAATGAAATTTAGTGAATTTCAAGGTTATTTACATATAACACTATAGTTATTTGTTAGCACAAACAACAGCTGCTAGCTGTAGCATGTCTGAATAGAAAATTCTATTTATGCCAAACTGATAGCAATGCACACATTTATTAAATAGCATTTGTATGAACCACAGTGARATATTTGAATTTTGAGTTGTTTTAAGATGTTGGCAATCACTTGGACTAGCCACTAGCCATAAGCTGTTTTTCCCAAGTGGGGTTGTTTGCTGCTATCTACAACAGGTAAGGCATTAATTGTTCATAACTGTTTTTTGACAAGCCTACTTTAAAACATCTGAATTATCCCTTTAAAAGACAGTAGGGGTGCTGTAATGTGGTGCAAACAGTCCAAGGTTACAAGCACAGGTGGTGGAAGGTTAGCAGATGCAGTTTCTTTGCAGGCAGTCAATCTCAGAAGGACAGCCATTAAGATTCACATAATGATCAGGTRTCAGCACTTACGGGGCTGTGACAACGTTAGAACCCAAAAATAATAATAATAAATTTAACTTTCTGTTTTGTGAATTTGAAAGTATTTTTTGTAAACAGTTTGGTTCTATTTTTCTTTACTGTGTCATGTTTCTCCTTCAAACCAATTGCAGCATTACCACAACAAACTTTGCCCACAAGATGGCAGCACTTGTGTTTCCTGTCTACATTGCTGCCATTTGATTCTGAAATCACTCCCATTGCTTTGTAGGTATACTGTAATTGAAATTGAGGCTGTCACAGCCCGAGCTGTYAAAAATGAATCTACAGACCTGTGGCCTTTATTTCAGCACGTCAGTCTGCCTTTTGTTTCAAGGGGGAGGTCAGATGCAGGCGTGACATTACTGCAGTACCTGTTCATCACGAAGAGCCTGCGACCGCTTGATCTTGCTCTGCCGGTAGTACTCCATGATCATCATGGCAGCATAGATCTTCCCCACAGTCAGGTCGGTCGCTGCCAAGAGAATGACAAGTTACCCTGCAGGATTAGACTCTTTGGGGTTTGACACTGAGAGTGAGGGATGCTTTAGTAGAGTGAGGCATGCACGYGGTTCACCTTCAAACACATAAAGATGGAGCAAATAGTCCTTTCACTGACAGATGGATGCAGTCCTTGTGACATGTTTGAGCTTGCTTGCAAATACAGTATGAATGAAATAAAAGCAACCATGCCAATTTGGCCTAAAATAAACAATTTAGAAAGCAATTTGCAGATTGTCCAAATTAGTGTCTTTAATGATTAAAAAGCATAAAGTGAAGAGAAATCTAAAATTAAAGGCTTAGTATTCCCTGAAGATATGCATATCGCCTCTTGCCTTTATGCCGGAATTGACAAAGTTACAGACATTTTTTTTGGCCATGTTGAATTAGCTGTGGCAGCCATCTTGAATTGGAGTTACTCCAAAAGTTAACCATACGTTCTTCTAAAAAACACTTTATGAAAAAAATAAAACAATAAAAAAATCATTAAAACCAATTCCAGTGGTTTAGGAGATATGCTGCTAACACAACCAACAAGCATGCTTATACACACAGAGAATCATTATCAATAAATAGTTGATCTGTGAAGGTGGTTATGCAAATAAAAGGAGCATAGGTGTTGTGTGTCTATTAAGTTTTTTTGTTTTTATTTTCTGTCAAGTTTAGGTGTCAGTTACAAAGCCTGTCCAGTGA